AAAAAAACTAATGTATGTATGTGTTCACCATGTTTTCCTAGGTCATTATGTACTGTGGTCTGTAAATGGATGTACTGCCCTCCAGATGGATGGGATGAGAGCTTCTGGACCAGCATTGGATTGGAGGATCTGCTGGAAAATAACTTCTCCAAAATAGGTAGGTCTTAGGGATTCGGAGCAGAATATTTAGCGAGGTTATGAATTTATTAGGACAGGAGCGTCAAACTACCCTGTAAAATAGATATATTTGCTAAACCTCACGGGGAGATGTGAAGGGAATGATATTTATAGGGTACAAAATCTATGGTGCTTAAATGAGTGGGGGGGGGCAGTCGAATATAACAGAAAGTTAGATTGAAGACAAATAGCTAAAGGTTAGCTGAGGAAACACTGGATTCTATATTCTAAACATTGGCTAAAAGCTAACGAACTAAAACAAAGCCAAAAGCTAACAACTGTAAAAGTAGCCATAATGTTCTATTTATCTCTAACTTAAACGTTCAATAAGGAAAATATCACCAGGAGCAAGAAGAAAAACCATCGGCTAAAAGAATGGCTAGCCTGCTAACAGCTCTGATCAACTGAAATGCCAAAAGTTGGTCAAAACATTGCTAACAGTAGCTAAAACCATGACTGTAACTTTTCTAACATCACAATTCCAGTTTTTGTAATAAGCAAATTCCTTTAACCATTAGCATACATTTTTGTTCATAAATTGCTCCTCTCTGTCCTGTAGGCAGTAAGACGTCTGCTCCAGGAAGCCCACTGGGTGATGGTCTGACCCAAGAGGCAGCAGCAGAGTTGGGTCTGAATCCGGGAACTGCAGTCGGATCTTCTCTCATCGACGCTCATGCTGGAGGCCTAGGTATCACGCACTGGGACGGAGTACTTTTACTCTGAAATACTTTCTTTTTTTTTTTCCCTATCACTGAAATATACAGGAGTTCACAATGTAATGGCATGGTACATTGGGTTTTTGACTAAGGATTCAGGTGTAACGTGCTTCATTGTTTTGTTTCGTTGTTCCTTTGGTAACGACGTTATTATGGCTACACAAGTTGTCTAGGACATGAGAACTCGTTATACTGCATTTCTGAATAACAATGATGGTTTCTATAGTGTTCAGACAGGACAACACTGAAAACCTAGGTGCGACACAGCACGGCACACCGCTGTCCTTTCTTTGGTTCAGAACTCTTTTTTTTTTTTTTTTAAATCAAACCATCTGGTTTAGTTCTGGGAAACTGTTCCTGAACTCTGACCTGTGACCTCTCACTTTGACCCCTGCCTATCGCATTGTTTTGTCGGTCAAAGGTAAAACCCCTCTGAGATCTTGAGGTGGTGTACGGGTCACGAGGTCACAGTTTGTGCACAACAATCCCTGCACGTACAACAGCCTTGTGGGTAAAATTCATACCAGCTTGATAAACATTATTTTCTGCAGTCACTTCAATGTTCCAATTGTCACAGTCAGTCTTTCAGAAAACAGTCTGCAAACTGTTCACTTCCTTTTACTAAAAGTGTTTTGTTTTTTTTCTTCTTCGGCAGGTATGATTGGTGCAGATGTAAAAGGTTTCAATTTGCCATGTGAGGACCAGCCAATCACGTCACGCCTGGCGATGATCTGTGGGACTTCCACCTGTCACATGGCAGTGAGTAAAACTATTTGCGAATCGCTTTTAGCCATAAACAAAAAAAGAAAAAATTGCGCTAGATAGAGCTAAACAACAGCACCCTCTGCTGGTAAATATGGGAATTGTCATCTCTGAAAAAGAGAGAAAGGCAACACAACAACAAAGTTAATTTGTATTTGTCGCCACCTAGCGGCTTCAACTGAAATACATTTTAAGTACTTTTTTTGCCGATTGCAATGTAGTAAAAAAAACAAACAAACAATTCAAACCAGTATTTACCATAAGATCAACTTTGTACCAGTGTGTGACGGGCTAGATAAGAAATCACTTTTTTTTTTTTTTTTTTTAGTCTGGCATTTAAGACAAAAAGCCTGTGATAAAATGCAATTCATTTACCTATCAGATCAGTCAGCAGCCTCTGTTTGTACCTGGAGTCTGGGGACCCTACCTGTCTTCAATGGTCCCTGACATGTGGCTCAACGAGGGAGGACAGAGTGCTACAGGACGACTGGTTGGTACCGTAATGATCACACATGATTTATGAGGATAAATCAGAGGCTCGCAAACCTTTTCTGTACCCCTCCCCCCCCTGTGTTTCCCTCAGCTCGACCACGTCGTAAAAAGTCACGCTGCGTACCCTCAGCTCCAGGAACAAGTACAGCGGAGGTGAGCTGAGGTGTTTTGTGATGTATGATATGTATGTGAAAGATGCCCTCTGCTGGGGGGGGGGGGCATATTTGTTTAGCTACTATTCAAATGACCAGACTCAAGTGATCTGCGGTATCCACGTTGAAACCGTTAAGTATATTTTCACTCATATAAACTGAACAGATGTCGTAATGCTAATTTAATGCGTCATGTATGTCCGTTAGCAATTGAAATAAATCGTATTTCAACATTTGTTCTCTGAAATGAAACTCTACAGTGGGTCCTCGACTTATGTCGGTACACAAGTACCAATGTCTCTCAACACAATCAGACAAGGGGGAGGCTATATATTTCGCAAACACAACCAGCATACATTTTCTTCGCAGATGTTAGCAGTGAAGCGCATCAGTAGAATATTAGCTGTGCGCTAGCGCATACGATTTTAGTGACGTGTTAGGGCTCCACTGACAATAGGCTTCTATGGGCTTTACCGATCGGAATTTTTTTGGTGATTCGACACTACCACCTACTGGCGGAATTTTTATACTTGTAAATGATTAGCAAGAAAATACACAGAGTTAGGAAGATTGAAAACTATAAAACAAATTACTCGATGTACTTTTTCTTATCCCCAGGCTGGGTGAGAACGTTTACAGTTACCTGAACAGTCACCTGAGTTCAATGGCTAACTCGGGCTCTGCTGTTGACCTGCTGGGATCCGGTCTCCACATGTGGCCCGACTTCCATGGAAACAGGTCACCGCTAGCTGATTCTACCTTGAAAGGAATGGTGAGGACATTGATCCTAACTCTTGATTTAGTCACGGTGTACAGCTAGTTTACCACCACCATCGTTCATCTACTGCGAATGAATGTGTCTTCTCTACTTTACTACTACAGGTGGTTGGCCTGTCTGTTTCTCAAACAATTGAAGACCTGGCTCTTCTCTATCTATCCACCATACAAGCGCTGGCTGTAAGTTTTCCCCTTTCCACACTTCAGGCAGACTTCCTCTCAGCCTCCGTCTCAGCACCTTGACCCTTATGTTTGTTATGTCGTTTTTTTTGGTTTCAGCTCGGTACACGTCATATTCTCGAGGCCATGAAAGACGCAGGACATGATATCAGGACCATCTTCCTGTGTGGGGGGTTGAGCAAAAACGCCCTTTTTGTACAGATCCATGCGAATGCAACAGGTATCAGCATCATTTACACTGAATCCTATGGTCATATACTGCATATACCTGTAATGTCTGCTTCCACTCCCAGGTTTACCTGTGGTTTTACCAGATCAAACGGAGGCGGTGTTGATAGGAGCGGCAATTTTGGGAGCTTGTGCTTCTCAGGACTTCGGTTCTGTACAGGTACCACTTCCACATACACACATACACATGCTATGATACTGGCTAATGTTTAGTTTTTTGCCGTCTGTGCTGTTTTGCTAATTTTAATAAACGCTAAATACCGTATTAGCTAACTGTAGTTATAGTTCAGATTGATCTTAGCTATTTTAGCGTTAGTTTATATAATTTAGCTATTCTTGGTTTAAATTTAGCTTTGACCGCTGGTTTTGGGATGAGGTCAAAGGTCAGAGTTCAGGAACAGTTTTCCAGAATTGATCCTTGCTAACTATGGGCTTCTTCTACATTTCTTTTTTTTTTTTTTTTTATAGCTATATCAGGGCTAACGCTTTAGCTTTTTTTGACGTATTTATCCTGGGAAATTTTTTAAACTTCTATGCTAGTGTTTTACCAACCCTAGAGAAGTTTTGACCAATTCCTGTTCAGGTCACTTTGGTCATCATGTTGTTTCTCAGTAGCAGCAGAGAACATGAGCCAGACAGACTATAAATATGATGTTATTGTTTGAGCTGCACCTGTCAAAGCATTTTCAGCCCTAGCAGTAGGAAAAAAAAACAAATGTAGACGACAGAGAGGCCCCGCTGCACAGCATCAGTCATAAAAGTGAGTCCGACAGCTCTGCTGCGGCCCCTGTTTCATTCAGTGTAACCAGACTGACCTGGAAATAAGTGTTTTTTTAAAATTTATTTCATGTATAGAGGCAACTTTTTTTCCCTCTGTTTCAGGAGGCAATTGAGAAAATGGCCAAAGTGGGCAAAGTTGTGCAGCCAGACGTTAATCTACAGAGGTGAGACATGAAAGTATTGAAAACATACATTTGGAGAAACAATTGATCAGTGTGTACAGATATATCGATATATCGCCGCTTTTGTAAAACTGGTTCAAATTAGTCCTAATGTTGAATATTTACTAAATAATAAATATATATTTTTCTTGCCTAATTAAGAATTCAAGACACAATTAAATGTTCGTTCCTAATTTGAAAAATCCTTGCATGTTATTTTCCAGCTTCTATAACAGAAAGTACGAGGTGTTCTTGCGGCTGTTTGTCCACCAGAGGGAGTACCAAGCCATTATGGACCAGCGTTGACGCCTTGGAGTATAAAGATGAGTCGAGGTGACGTCACTGAATTCAAAACTGCACATTAATAGACTGACTTAAAACAGTTGCTATTTTTTCCAATCACCGTCCTGTTTTTTTTTTCTATAGATCAAATAGTTTAATGTCCAATTAATATCTATTTAATTAAGGATTAGTTAATTAAATCTTTGTTTTGCACTGATCACAACCCAGTTATTTTCTAATTCACGCCCCCCCCTTTCCTAACCACAACCCCATGAATTGAAATACCATTGAGAACCTGATAATGTATATTTTTATCTGTACAAACCAACTGTATAAGATGCTGCCCCCTAGTGACTGGAGGCTTGTTATCACTCAAACATTACAACACTGGTACACTTATGTCCAGTGCCTGTGTCATATTCCATTGCAAGCCCCTCACTCCTCCCTCCCCCGGCACACCACTGCGCCCCCCCAGAGGGCCCCGCCCCACTGTTTGAGAAGTACTGTCATAACCAATGCTGCCTCTTCTAAAGAGCCGCAGTCCAAATGCGGCGAATAAAAATATCAACAAATAATTAATAAATAATATTTTTGAAATTAGTCACATTCTGTTGGTTTGAGTCTTTGACTCAAAAAATATTACTATTTTACGTGAATATTTTGAATTTAATTATTTGACCCCCGCATGGAGTGTTTGACGTGGAGTCACCTTTCGATAACCTTATCGTCAACCGGATATCGTTTTTTTATCAAGCGTTGCATTTTGTTGCGCAACAAAATTAATTATTAGCTCTCACATGATATCGTAAAAGTCACATGACACACACACACACACACACACACATACCCCACCCCCTGGAGGTCACAGTGAAGCCCGACTCTTCAGTCTGCAGGATGGATGGCTCTCTCACCGGTACACAGCGGGGCTTAAAGTAGTTTTTCCTGACCACCGGTGGCCCCTGCAGAGCGGGTGGAGGGGAGGGGTGGCATATCACCGCAGACCACCATGTTCTCAGCGACCACCAGACGCAACAGTTGCCGCGGGATCGCGTTTGGAAGCCGAACCACGTCCGAACTCCATGCCAGGCGCCGGAGCTCCGTCTGTTCCCACGTCCCCGCCGGCGTCCAGCCTGAAGATCTGTCCGTCAGCCTCAGTCAGCCCATCATCACCATCACACTGCGCTTCCTGCTGGCGATAGATCTGTGGCTCTCCAAGCAGTTGGGTGTGTGCGCCTGCGAGAAGTCCTCCTGGGGCAGCATACGGCCCTTGGTGCGCTTGGTGGAGTTCTCGGGTCACGCCATCCCGTGGATCGTCGGCACCCTGTACTCTCTGCTGTGCGGGGAAACGGCGGAGGAGCAGGAGGTGTTGCTGAACCTCACCCTCGGTAATGATGTCGAATGATTATTTTGAAAAAATTCTCTCCCGTTCGGATCGGAATCAACCGTACCCACTAACAAACAAATGACCATTTTATATCAATGCGCGTTTTTGTATTTTCATAACACATTTCTGGACACCACGTGGTGTTGTTTTATACTTGATAGTTAATCTTAGAATTAAACTGGTCGGTAAATAACTCAATAACTCTGTGCGTCGTTACGCACATTTGTTCCACTTGCAGAAGGCTAAGCCAGTCAGCGCTGGTTGTGAAGAGCTGCGAGATGATAATGTAGACCAAAATAGCACAAAGAGAACAAAGCATCATCATCATCATCAACAACATCATCATCATCATCAGTCCATGCAAGTGTCAGACATGTTACTGTTACCGCATACCTTTAAAGGGTATTTTCCATTTGTCATTTTCAATATGTGGGTAAATATTTCAGTGACGTTTATTTTGTGACTCTGTCACTGTCTCTTCTTCTTTTCTCTTTCTGTTGCGAGTAGTTTTGCGTTAAACCCCAGAAAGAGACGCGAGAAAGAACCTTTAAGCATTTTTTTTATTCAAAGCCACTTACGATTTAGCGCTAATTTCTCACAGTACTTGAAAACATTTATTTCAAGTTTTTTTTTCTTTACCTTTTTTAGCGCTAATTTCTCACAGTACTTGAAGTTTTTTTTCTTTATCCTTCCCCTCTAAAACCTTGAGGTATTTTTTGCGATATTTTTTGGCAAACTTTTTGCTAGTTCTTGACCTACTTCTAGCGATTTCAAGTTTTAAGTTTTTCCGTTTTTTTTTTTTACCACCCACTTTTAGCTAGCACGTATCTCTCGTGAAGTCCAACTCTTTCATGCATGTTCCTGCATGCGGCTGTAGCTTCTGGATCCGCGGTACACTTTAAATACATGTGCCACGTGACTATATTTATATCTGGTGTATGGACGCACCTATAAATAAGGTCGACAACTGGTTTTATTGTTGTACTGGCTCCATTGTATTGGAGATGTGTTTTGAATGTTTCCGGGGGGAAAAAACTAAAACCAAACCGTCTTTCCGCAGCTCTGTTGTTGGACCTGCTACTGGTCCGCCTGTTGAAGGCCCTCGTCAGGCGTCAAATACCCGTCCAGAACCGCTCCGACATCCTCTCCGCTTTGTTTGCCGAACGGTACTCCTTCCCGTCGGGCCACGCCACGCGGGCCGCCATGTGTGCCCGCTTCTTCCTGGCCCAGCTGAGTGACACGGCCTCCACGCGGTTCCTGGTGGTGGGCTGGTCCGTTCTGGTGAGCCTGTCCCGGCTGCTTCTGGCCAGGAACTATGTGACTGATGTGGGGTTTGGCCTGGCCATGGGTTTCTGTCAGTACAGTTTGGTGGAGAGGCTGTGGGTGACCTGGGATGGCCTTCGGGACCTTCTGTTCCTGCGGCTACGGGAGAGACTCAACTGGGCTTATGGGGGACTCTGGATGGACGATTGGACATATTAGATTTGGTGGATTCCCCCGAGCAGCGTTTAAGCTAGAGAATGAGTTTCCGTTTGAAAAGTGTAGCATGACTGTGTGGAAAAATGAGCACCATGTATTGGGTTAAATCAAACATGTTTCTGGATTTCGATGTTTTTTTGTTTGTATCTGTTTGCGCTGTTGTTGCACCGAAAATAAAACCATCTGAAAAATGACCAGATCTCAGCATGAAAACTACAACAATAGTTCTCATCTGAGTATGAGGTGGTGGTCCATTGTTGCATGTCCCCCCACCCCAAACCCCCGGACTGGTTTCTTTCTATTTGTGTGAGCACTGACGGGGCGGGGGGCAAAAAGTTTCCATCAGCTGCTGCCTAGTCTCCTGACCATCTTTTTTTTTTTTTTTCCCAATAGATCCCGTCTCCCCTTTCACCCTTGATAAGAATACCAGTATACAAGACCGTTTTCTATAGATGTTTTATTTTTATTTTTTATGAATGTGTCGAATTAATGTAAGCCCGAAGGTAAAGGTTAGGATTAGTCCTGACCTGTTTATGGTTGAAGGTTGGTTTCATTTCCCGAAGCCACACAGCTTATCTAAGTCAGAGAAAATCCCTATCAGAAATAGCCGTGGAATGTCTGATATGTTTTTGATATTTTTGTGTACGTCTGTATGCAGTTACAGCCAGCCCCCGACAGAGGGCAGTGCATACCAGCACATGGTGTTTGCAAAAAAACCAAAACAATGAAAGTGTACAGCTCCTGAAGCCAAGTCGGGACTTTACAATGTGGCGTCGATAACACTTTAATTTGACATTTCTTTTTCGTTTGTCCGCAGAACAAACATGAAGCTTTTTGTCCAACCTACTTTCAACCGAACGGTGAACCTCGTGGCCGGGCCTTTTTCTGCTGCGGCTCCTGCTAAAGGTATGTCTCACCACATGTTGTAGCCACCTTTGACAACAATGGACAGTAGAGGTCACGGGTTTGTTTCCAGACGTTTGGTCTAGTCATTACGATACTCTCTCTTGTTTAACGGACTTGCTATTCGTTTATTTTGGTGTTTGCTGTTTATGTTAGCTTAATTTATGTATGGTATGTAGGATGAAAATCATCTGTGAACCCATTCAGCCGGAAACCAAAGCCGGGATTTGAACCCTTTTTCATGAAAAGCTGCAGCCACTTAGTACGGGTTGAGGGGATTTGAACCCTTTTTCATGAAAAGCCGCAGCCACTTAGTACTGGTTGAGAAATTGATTTCTTGCTCCCACCTTTTTTTTGACAAGAACATTTAAACTCCCCAGACCAACATTGATTTCTTGCTCCCACCTTTTTTTTTATTTAAACTTCCCAGACCAAAAGACCAACGTTGATTCATAAGCAGAAGTGGGTGAATACAAAGTTTTATTTAGAAGTTATATAACATGTCTATATTTATATTCTTATATTATTGCAGCTGCAGAAACACTTTATTAACTTCAGTACACGGTTTTCCAACAGCATAGCCGCGTCACATTCACTCGCTCCAGTGATAACGTCCGTTAAACAGCAGCTTGTTTCCTCCTCAGCGGCTGCCGGGGCCCAGTCTGACATCATAGGTGACCATGTGGAAGTTGTCCCAGGCGTACAGCTTCCTGTGGGCGTAGTTGTAATCCAGCATGCTGTTGTATTTGTACCTGTTCCTGAAGGGCACGGCAACCGGCCGCCTGACGCCCGTGGCTGTGTCGAACACGTGGTTAACCACCGTGTTGGCTGCGGTGTAGCTGGCCAGCGTGTACAGGCGTCCGCACGCCATGAAAGCGTTGGCCACCGTGTTCTTCCTGATGGTGGTCTCCCAGCTCTTCCCAACAGCAAGGCTGTCGGGGTCGAGCCGAGAAATGACGATGGCTCCGTTGGCCTCGCTTGTGCTGTAAATGGCCCACAGGCCCTGTTCGTCCACCGCCAGGTCGATGTCGGTGTAGCCTCCCCAAGAGTAGGGGTACTG